AAGAAAATAAGGAAAATAAGTGAATCTCGAGATCTTAGTTGAGATAGATGGGCATAACTGATTGTTTTGTTAGATTTTATTATTTAAACTATGAGTATTATTCTTGCGTTTACGTTGTAGTTTATTTCAGAGTTTCAATAAAAAATTTTCTATGAAATGATATTTCTAATATTATTATTATCAAAATTAAGGTGTATTAATAATTTATTTTTCATTTTAATTTTCAGGTGTATTTTCAAATTTAAAATTTAACAATTTTGAAGATAATGAAGGGGATTCACTGGCTGAATTTATCAGTTTTTATATGTAGTTTTATATTTTGGTACATTAACGCTGGGGTGGCGCCACACGTTTTTCAGTCCTAAGGAGTGCATTTCTCACTTTTTCACTCCTAAGTAGTGCATTTCTCACTTTTATACTGCTCAACGGTAAAAAGACCTACTTCTCATGCTTAACTACCGTCGGTAAAAGAGCCCTTTTTGGGCTTGAGCAATGAAAAAATTATTAATAGGCCCATTCATCAACCAATCTCGAATCCAGCAATCTAATCTCTGATTTTCAAGGTTAAATTTCTTCAATATCAAGTGTTAATTAATAATTTCCACATAAAAATAGAATTAATGCGGTTGTATATGTATGCCTGTCTTAGGAACAGGGAAGTGTTACGGATTCATTCGGAAGCTTACTACCAATGGGATTGGTAGAAATAAAAGAAAGAAAAGGACTAATAAGACAAAAAGTACCGGTCCCATGCCTTCTGTCGAATAGGTTTGAACCCCTGCTTGTTTTCTTTCATCATTGATTATTTTTTAGGTGGTTTTTTGAGTTGTTTCTTCATGGAATTTTTTATGAGAGAAGTTGTTTTTGGGTTGGGTTTATTTAATGAAGTTTTTTTTAAACCAAGTTATTTTGACGGAGTATTTTTGACGGAAAATATTTAGAGATGGACCCGAATAGATGAGTGAATATCGATTTCCAATGGAGAAAAAACCTCGACGTATCAACTGCATGCTCTAATCATCTTACTCATCGCTCTTTAGCGTCATCGACTTCCTTCTCAACTACCTCACATTTCGCCATCATTCAAAACATACGCGCGATGGTAGCACAGACGTTGGCGCGTGACTCTGATAACATGCTATTTCACGTTAACAATGGAAATTGTACTTACGGAGCTTTCCCAGTATCAATCCCAAGATCTTAGAAAGTGAGTTGTATAAAAATAGAACAAACGGAAGTGATCGTAGTCTGGTACATATACATATACCCATATAACGTATCTATATATGTGGTCACAGTGCGTTGCACTCATCGAACCGTGATTTTCATCGTCATTCTAACCGTGACGACACGGAGAAGCGGATCGCAAAAGTGCCCTCATTCTGTGCTCTTTCATTCCATTCTCTTCTTTTTTTTCCCCCCGGAAATGAAAAGAATCCCTGAATGAATCGTTCATCCGTACACACGCGATGGTTCCGGGGAAACTGTTGTTTTATTTCTCTCTCTTTGGCTGAAGATGGAAGAAGTATGGCGGGGTTCGAGAGGAGAGGTAGGGGATGGTTGTTGTTGTGGTTACTCTTTACTGGTTATATGCCTTTGTAAAAAGGAACGTAGTAAAGAAGGGATGGTGAACGGGTTGAAAGAGACTGGTATATATGTTTCAAGTTGACTTGGGTCTTTCGCCTGGCTACACTTGAACCTTCCCAACGACGACAAGTGGAGTAGGAGATCTGCTCACGGTCGAGCAAACCCCATCGTATCACTGCCAGTAAAGACATTCAGTGAGATAACGAGGCTCGATGCTAGCTTCTCTTTCAATTTTTTTTCGTAAACTGATAAATTGTGAAGGAACAAAAATGGGTCCATGTGTAAAAAACTACCGTTAAAAAAACTTCGTCAGAAAAACTCGAAGAAAAAAAAATTAGAACCTGAACTTCAAAAAGCTTGAAAAAAACTTTTAAACTTCTAACGTATAAGGAAACTTGCAAATAAATTTTTTAAAAAGCCCATACACATTACACATGCATACATACATACATATTTACGTACATACAGATCTTTTAAACATCGCATATTCGGACTTTATGGACCATATTTAGTTGCCCTGACACAAACATTTGGAAAGTTAAATTTGAACGATTACAAAGCTTCCATTCAGAAGGAAAAATGTAAAAAAACGAACGAACCATAATGCAAAACATCTATCCGCAATAAACAGCGTCAAGTCTTGATTAAAAGTCATTTGACAGAAATTCATATGCACGAGGAAATAACACAAAAGACCAGATAACCAAAAGGTTTTATTGACGGAGGATCCATTTGACAAAAGTTCAATTACACCACAATTTCACTTTTCCAAGTTGCATTTAATCGAGTTTTCTTAACGAAGTTTTTGACACGTGCTTCGATAAAAACATGCTCAAAATGTATAAACAAGAGCGAAAGGATTTTCTATTCTGAATTTTCTATGTGTCTGACTATTCTAAATCTAACATTGACATTGAGGAGATGAATTTCTTTTCCCATAAATATAATCCAGAACAAAATTGCGATGAATTGCCAAGAAAACTTGTGTCCCCATGAAATTTTCAACAATTCAGTAGTGGACTTTGCCCTCAACAGTGGAAAACGCAACCCCTCAATCCCGGTGGCACGCTGCAATGCATACGAATTAATCCCGCAGCACCGGCATCTCATGTTAACACGGGTCCCGAGTGGAATGAGACTACCAGCCGACGGTGGTGTGTCTCTTTGGCGCCCTTAAGGTTTACACAGACGGGGTACAGCTATAGATGAGGAATGGAGGAAAGAGGCCAGCCGCACTGTCTGCCTCAAACTGTTGGCATTACGGAAGGTGGAGGAGGACGATGGATCCACCCACCTTCATACTACAAAATACATTCTGCATAGAGATCCCCAGGAAGTAGCTCTTCGGGTACACGAGTACATACATACACTGCTCAACGTAGCGAATATAATCTTTCAACCGCTCTCGACGCGACCGTGCGCACACACAACTCCCAAGCGTTTATTATTCATAGTATACCCCTCCCCACCCCCGCTTGCCCTCTCCATCAACTATACCCACCCCATTCATACCACCTACCCATGCACCCTCTGTTACCCTTGTATTTGCAACGTTTTACTTTCATGAACGTTAATACGCGAGGATTTGCCTCCAATCGGATTTATGCAAATAGCTATTGGGTGTACAAGCGTACACTATTCCCGCCCACTTGCGTCTCACTAACGGTGTGCATTAGTGGACAGTTAAATCAGGCGTAAATAATTCAGCAAACGTGATATATACACGCCACGGTAACGAAATACAGCTCCCTACCCCCACCCCCGCTCCTCATTCTCCTCATCGTTCTGCAGAATTTGGAATAGGAAATTTTAGTTATTTGGGAAACACTGATTGTCAGATTAATGAGGGAAATTTTACACAGGATACAATTAGAATTCTCTCGAATGATGCAGTAACTGGATGAAATGATATATGCAATGCTGGCAACTGTATCCGCTGAGTGTGACGAAGCATTTATTAGAAATAATAATGTTTGGTTAATGAAGCTGAAAATAATCCGAATCAGTGCAATTACTATTTGTGCTTTTATAATGATTTCCATTGTTTCGGCTTATCATCAACAATATAATGATTCAATGCAATTTCTAGGGCATGTAATGACTGGATGTTGAGAGAGCGATGATAATATTGATGATGTGAGAATTAATGGTATCTAAAGGAGAATTTGTAATTGGAGTGATATGTACGAACCAGCTAAAACACCAGCCATGTATACAGCGCCAATCCTGAAGCTCCCATGAACCATTTCGAGTGGAAGTCCCACGACCACCTGTACCCCTAGGTTAAACAGCAGGTGGAGCCATCTGAAAGTAGAGAAAGGGACAATAATTGAATTATAAGAATGTTGTCATGATGGTGGTGTAGCGCCAAATAGGAATGTACAGTTTAGCGCGGTAAATTCTGGTGACAGTTCTGGGTAACAGAATGTGTGCAATGAGAATGGATTTCCGGTTCTCACGAGGAAGAGCTTGCAAATTAAAATGGTGTAATCAGAGATGCAAAAAAATTATCGCACATGGTACTGAACCGTTATGTGACGGTCATAAGACCGACGGAAATATGACGATTCTGTATTAAGTCATTGAAAGACCAACATCTATGATCGTCTACGTGTGAGAGAAGGGGAGGAGGGGGCCGTCAGCGTAAAACACTGTTAGAAAAAAAAAAGAAATTTCATGAAAAGATGACTAATAATTTTCAGGACCGTGACACTGAATGCGATTTAGGGAGTAAGAAATCATGAACTTTCAGGTTTCACTGAAAATTCAGTAAAATTCCAGAATTTTAAGTAGCATAAAAACGAGAATTCCTTAATTTATTTGAATTCCCAATCTAATATGAATATTCAGTGCTAAATTGCATTGAATTTTCAGTGAAATCTGAAATTTCATGATTTTGTTCGCTGTCCTGAAAATTCGAGAATATATTTATCGGAATTTTCTGTTTTTCTATTCATTTTCAGGAAAAAATGAAACTGAAATTTAGAGTTCTCTTTGATTTTTCGACGAAATTCTGAATTTTCAATGACGAAATTCTTTGAAATTTCAGTGGTAATTAAATTCGATAAAAATTTCCAAAAAGTGTACCGGAAATTTCAGACATTGCATGAGAAAAATTTACGTTCACAGAAGTGGTACATTACGATAATTTTTTTTTGACGGATGGGGCCACAATTCAAACAAAAAATAGAATTCGACTTTACGGTTTATAATTTTGCTACTTAATCTAAGTAATTCTCGTCACCAAGAAAATTTAAAATTATCTTCATTCAGAGTTTGTCGCTGCCGGAGTCAATTATGCAGCTGACTTGGTCCTTCCGAGATTCACATGAATCCAAGAAATGTTACCCCAAGTTTTCTTATCGTTTCGACGCTCAGGTGGTCTTCAGCATCTTTATAAGAAGTTTCTTCATCTTTTTTTTTCCTACCTATTTTTGTTCGTGAAAATACTTAGCAGTTTGAGATGTAAAGTTGTATGGAGAAATTGCACATGATACTTAAACTCGAGACTTGGAGTATGTGGATAAACATTGTTGACAAACAGAGGTATTAAATTGTCCAGGTTTTAATGAGAAACGTTGGGAAGCGGTAGGATGCGGGAGATGTG